GGATGCGTGTGCGAGAAGAGCCTGTCGCGGGGGGTGTGTGCACGCAGCGTCCCCTCCGCGGGGGGATGCAGGAGCCTGTGCAGGTGGGGGTGTGCATGCGGCCCCTCGCTTTGGGGGCAATGTGCCGAGGGGCTGGCACCTGCCGCCTGTGTGTGCCCGCATGCGTGCAAGTGTTCGGAGCAGGGTGCGGGTGAGAGGCTGCCGGAGGAGGTGTTGCTCCGTGGGGACCATTTGCACAGGGGCATGGGGCAGCCCAGCATGTGTGGGGCTGTGCTCTCCTCTGCCACCCCCTCTGTGAGCCGGGCACCCACACTGCTGGTGGTCCCCAGCACCCCCTGCACTGGGCACCCCTTTGTCCTTGGGAGGGCACCCTGGGAGCACAGACTGGGCAGTCTCTAGTGCAGGGCTCACCCCCAGGAAAAGCTTTTTCTCCATGGAGCACAGGCTCAGTGCAGCTGCCTCGTTGGGTCCGGCTGCCCCATGCGGGGTGCTGTGCACTGAGCTCTGCTGTGTCTGCCCAGCTCCCGCGGCCGCGCGGCCAGGTTGGGTGTCTGCCCCTGTGGGAAGGGGCAGCTCTGCGCAGGGCCCCCCGCACACTGGCAAGAGGGAGCGCTGAGGAGCAGCACAGGGCTGCGTGGGGCTGCTGCTGCCTCCGGCAGAGTGGCCGGAGCCTGGGCAAGGGCCCTGGGACCGCCACGCACGGGGGCTCCTGCTGCCCTGGCCAGCTGGGTTGGGACCTGTGCTGCAGGCTGCCTCTGCCCCGGCTGGCTGGGTGCTAAGGTGCAGCTTAAGATGCTAAGATGCAGCTCGGCAGAGCCCCAACAGGCCGGCACAACTGAGCGGGCTGTGCTGGGGGCTCCCGTTGCAACCCAGACTCGTGGTGTTTCTGCGGGCGGCAGGTTTGCCCCGGTGCCAGGAGGTGCTGCCAGTTCTGGGCACCCTCTTGATCTGCATGAGCTGCCTAGACGGGGCAGGGCTGAGCGACCGCCATCCCACGCCTGCGTCCCTGGGCTTGGGCTCTCTGGTTGGAGATGAGAGGTTGCAGTGTGTGGGGCCAGCTCATCCCTTGTCCCCGAAGCTGCCGCGTTCCCGGCACCTCACCCTGCCCTGGGAGCGCTCCGTGGTCGCGGGCAGGCACCGCAGCCCAGCAGCGCTGGCAGCTCGGCAGGGCGCCGCTTTGGTGGAATTTTCTCCCTTTGAGACGTAATTATCCTCCCGCAAGCAATCCCTCCCCGGTGCCGGGAGCTGCGGTCATGCAGAGCGAGCCCCATCGGCTGCCTCCTCGGAGGAGGGCAGGTGCTAGTGCCGTGCCGGCCCCACGGGCTCCGTCGGTGGCTGGCCACCAGCGCTGCTCACACCGCACTCCACGCTTTTTCCCTCAACTGACCTGTTTCTCCACGTCTGTCGCCACAGGGGGACTTTGGGGTTGTTTTTTTGTGTGTCTGCGGGAGTGCTGTGCGCGGCAGTGCCAGACGTGCCCGTCCCACAGGGGTTACCTGCAGGGCGCCTGGCAGCTGCACTGGTGCGTGTCACTGCTGCAGGGGCTGCGGCAGCTCCTCAGAGCTCCCTGGAATTGCGACTTTGCAGCCGCCAACTTTTCACTTTTCACCCCAACAAAGCTGGGCAGCGCAGGGTGACAGGAGCCTGCAGCATGGCTGGGGAGGCTGCATCCTGCCTCCCAGGTGGCTTTCTCGGGAAAACCACCATGCCTTAAGCTGCGCCCGGGGCCAGCTTTGGTGCAACAGGGAATTATTCACTTGGTCTGATTTGATTTTCCAAAGACGCTGAGCATCTGCAGTCAGCGTGTGTTAGAATCGGGCTGTGGGTCCCTGTGCACCGTGTCCATGAGCGTCCGGGCTCCCCAGAGGCGCCTGCGTCCTGCACCTCTCGCTGCATTGGCCCCGAGCCTGGAGGCACCGCGGGCAGGATGGGGCCGTAACCCCCCAGCGCTGCGGTTGTATCTGCTCCCGGGCATCCCTTAGGGCCCGGCACGGGAGCGGAGCTGGCAGAGCAGGGCAGGCTTCCCAACCCGCTTGCTTTTCCTGCTTCCTTTGAAAGCTGCTCTGATGAGCAGACTGCCCTGTCGGGGGGCTGGGAACTCCCACTGGTGCCAGCAGGATCAGTGCAAATTTACCACCCCAAATGGCTGCTTCCAGCACCGCTCTTGGCGAGCAGGTGTTAAACTGAGCGGCAGAGCCTTGCACGCGCCTCTGCGTTTGAAGTTCTCGGCTGGCAGCTGAGCACGGCCGCGTGCCCCGTTCGCCTCTGCTCCCTCAGCCGAGCGGCCCCGCGCAGCAGCCGTGCTGTGCAGCACCGGGACGCGGTTCCCTGCGCCCCTCTGCTCGTCCCACACCATGGATGGCCGGGGAAGAGCAACCCTGGGGGTGCCTGGTTTTGCGGTTGCATCCGACTGTGCAGTGGACTCTTAAGGGCTAGAAGGCAGTGGCAGGGCAAATCATCCGGGGGCAATTTAGGGGCTGTCCAGGTGGGATCTGGTGCCTGGAGAGGGGAAGCACGAGCAAGACTCTGCAGAGCCCCGAGGCGTGACGTGGGGCGGCCCCAGCTGGTCTCGGGGCTGCAGGAGCGCACGGGCTCACCGGGAACGCCAGCCTGCTCGGCCCGCCACGATGCCTCCTTGGGAGCCTTCCCGGACAGAGGAAATTTGCAATTCTATTCCAATTTCTCCCTTCAGCTACGTCCGAGGCAGATGCTGTCTATATATCGCCATGGTAACGCTGCGTTCTCGCTCTCCATGGAATTGCATGCTGGAAAAATATTAGTTTAAAAAACTATGTCGTGTTTGTATTGACTAGAGCCGAGGCTGATAGCGGAGGATCTATTGTCCCCTGGTTGGGAAAAGTCACCCATAACAGGCAATAAAACCAGCCCGATTGGCCTCTGGTGACTACTTCTCACCCTGCACAGCAATTGCTTCCCTATAAACCCTTCGCTGTCTCTGTTTTATTGCACCCTTTAAAATAGATATTTTTGCCTTAAACGCACTGCCACTTTGCTCCTCTGCGGCGATGCATTTCTGCTGTGGGCAGGTGCTCTACACCGAGCTGGAGCCAGCAGGGAAAATTGCTCCCCGTGCTGATCCCTGCCTGCTGAAGCACTCTTTCAAATGTCACCACTGCCCCCGGTGTCCCCGGAGCATGCCAGCCCTGAGGCCCCTGTGCCAGCGCATGCAGCGTGCAGTGCATGCCCTGCAGTGCTGCAAGCACGAGGGGGGCATGCAGAGGTGTGCGAGCCTGCAACCCTGCACTGCAAAGGGCTCCGCTTTGCATGGGGCTCCGCTTTGCGGGGCGAGCGTGAGTAGGATGCACATGTGTGTGAGCTGGCACTTTGTCTCGCGGCCGCCTCCTTCGTGCCTCTCTGTCCGCGGCAGCGGCGCTTCGGCCACGTGCTGCTCCCCTCTCTGCTTGCGCTGCCGGAAAACCCAAAGGGCAGAGATGCCCCCATGCGTGGTTTTCCGGAGGGCAATAAAGCCAGCCCGGTGCCAAACCTCAGGGGCTGCCGTGGCAGCGTGCCCGGCGGGGTGAGTGAGGGCTGGGCTGCTGTCCTGGGCCGCTCCGGCCCCGCGTCCGGCCTCGCCGCCGCGTGCTGCCTCCGCAGCCTCCCGGAGCATCTGCTTCCCCGGCACGCATTTCGGATGCACGCGCTGCTCAAAATAGCAGAGGCGAGTGTCCTATGGGGGAGAGCGAGGCTGCTAGAAAGAGGAAGATCAGAAAAAAGGGAAGATTAATTTTTCAGGCGCTGCGGCGGCGGCGCGGCCCTCGGCACCGCGCGTGGGAGCGCGGCTGAGCGCGG